GTTTGCGATCAAAAATATTAGATACAAAAAGCTGAAGCAAACTATAAGTAAAACTATATTTATCGATGTTACTGATAAATTTATGCAAATCAATCTGATCGAATGCATTCTGCTTAATATCAAAGTACACCACATCTATCTGAGGATGCCCCAGAAATAAACTGCGAAACGCGGAAAATTTTAATAACACATGATACCTTTTCGATAAAGACATGTTAACTGATCCATATATAAACTCATACAGTATTTTTTCACACAGCTTCAAGGAATTGCACCAAATTAATATAGGTCGATAGTTCGACAGGAGCGCTGAATCACCTGTTTTCAATGGGACGTACTCTAGCTGTCTTCCATCGGCAAGGAAATATGTTTGTTGATAATATCAGATAGAATAAATGAAACAAAAGTTCCATCAATGCCATACTGTTATTTTTAACTATAATGCTAGGGATTCATCAGGACAAACAATCAAATTGTTTTCAATATGTTACAGAAGCGTAAAAAATATTATTTCCAACAATTTTGTATATGGAAATACACTCTTATTCTATAATTATATTTTGCAGGTTAACCAAAAGCGAGTTGTTATAGAGTTGTTACGCATTACTAAATGCATCAACTATGTCTTTTCTTCCTGTTTATTTTTTATAAGAGTTGAAAAAATCATGATGCATTCGTTTTCTGTTCATTTGCATGAGAGATGTGTCATCAAATATTTTGTATTAGTACACAAGTCTAAACGATGATCGAGAACCACACTGCCTTTCATCACCAATTACAAAAATAATACTCTTGAACTTGAATGAACTTGAATGATTTCAACTCTCAAGAAATCATTCCATAACTAATCAATAGTATCTTTTCTGGAGTAGGATTATCAGTCGAAGCCTCCCAACAATGATAGCGTTTTTATTGGAGGACCATCATAAACGAAGGAAATCTTAGCTGAGAACTATAATCTATCAACAGTCTGTTTTTTTGGTAAACAGCTATCGCACCCTCATGAACGACAATCCAAAGAAGTAAAATCGATCAGCAAACTTCGTCACTCGTATTCATAATTTAAGATGGTGGTGGTGATTAGAGTGTGAATGTGATATCGATCGGAGTAGTAGTAGCGTTTAGTTAGACAAAATTGCATTTTCTTCATATTACATTACGGGGTTTGTTTCTGCTAAGACATGTTCTGAAATTGCGTATTTCTTTGGTTGCATAAGGCGACAGTTACGCTTGTGTAACTCATCGGCATGTAGAGCTTGGTCGGAATGACGAAGTTCTTTTTCGAAATAGTATGGCTCACAAATTCTGTTGGCAAGATCAACAAGGGTTTTCATCACACCAAGTTTATATCCTGGATGGCAGATTGAATTCTTGTTGAGATTCTGATCAGACGTAGCTGCCTCTTTATGCAACTGGCGAAATCTGCAATTCCAGAACATGTCCTAGCAGAAACAGACCACGTAATAAAATATTGAGAAACTCCTTTCATGTCTCATTCAAAATACTACCACGCACGACTTCATCCCAACGGAAAAAGAATGTATAGGGGTCAACAGATCGTGGTTTCCAGTATTCAAGAAAGCCAAAAACAGAAGAGAATACAAGTCCAATCATCATTCCACCAGCAGCATACCGGTCAACAATGTGGACCAACCTGAACAACCTAGCAGAAAAACCCAGCGAAATGAGGACCAATTCGCAATGACACTTCACTTCCACCACTATCACCAACATCTACATTGTCACAATACCATCTAAATCATACATACGAATGAACACGAAGCTCGTCAGTCAGTCGATAGTTGAAGCCCCAGGCTGAACGCTCGATTTTCATTTGCTATCATCCAATCCGTGTTAGGTATAACACGTTGAAAGGTAAGACCTCATCAGTTCTTAGCTCGGATAAGTTTCGACTTTTTAGGGTTGTCGTTCGTAGGGGTGCGATAGCTGGTTAATGGAAAAAACATATTTCAAACATATATTAACACATAACTAGATTTTGCCTATTGTCATGCTCTTTGGTAAAACAGCGGAGAAAAATCGTTTTTCTGGCCTCATAAATATTGTGATAGATGGAACAGAACTTCCTTTGAAAAGAGTTACAATAATTTTGGCTTATATCTTGACAAAAGTCTTCGTTTAAAAAGACACATTTCGCAAATTCTGAAACGAGGTTACGCAAATTTGAAAATAATATATTCCAGAGCATTTCTGAATAAAAAAAGTAAAATTATACTCCGCGATGCTTTAGTTCTTCCAGATGCCAACTACGCAGTCGCATTTGGCGCCCAACGTGGGGCTGGTTTTTCTTGTGTTTCTTCAACATAGTACTGGAAAACACACCTTTCCAACAATACAATTTGAGATCCAGAAGACATCTGGAGTTAGCATTTGGGGGCGTTCGAGAGAATAACGATAACAATCTGTATTCAATCAAACAAAATAACAAAACCTGAATATACAAGGTAACACAAATAATTTAAGCATAGAGGGTCGCGTAGGAATGTCCGGACTCGGGGATTTCGACAACCTACCTACTTTGCGTTCATTTCCAAATAACCAACATCAATTCGGCCTTGTCTCTTGGCAGAGTGCACCAGGCCCGGCTCGAAATTTTGGTATCCCAGGTATCCCTCAGTTTCACCTCAAGATGTTGCAAATATAGTTTCTCAAATCACTAAAAAAGTACAACATAACAATATTTGAATATAAAATAGTATGAATTCAGGACAATTGAATAATCCAAATATGTTCAGCTTGAACGCCTCAGATGCACATTTACCAATAATCATAAATGCCCCTGAGGCAGCTCATAAACAAACCTTAGGAATCAGAACGAAGTCAATTATGTAGTATTACTCCACACATAATGGATAATTTTCCCCTAGATGAGGCATATGTAAAATAATAAAAATGCTTTCACATTTTGATTATTAGGGTTCATTGCACCCCTCAGATTTCCTGAATATATTGGAGACAACTTTTGATGTAAATAGTTATCCGTTTCATAAAGTGGAAATCATTTTAAATAATTGCTTCAAAGATACAGCTGAAGTATGATTCGTTACATTTTTCTTATTCAAAAATGCTTCTGTGAAATATATTTAGTATAAACAAATTCAATATGATTATAGATCTAAAATAGAAAGTGACACATGTAAAGAGGGTGAAACTCACACAGACCATTTCAAATATTGCGTATCTCTAGTAAAATATCTTTGAGAAAAGCTGATTATTTTTTGAACTCGAATTACAGAAAAAAAATTACAAAAGAATACTTCGGAACAACATAAAACAAATTATAAATATCAAAATGAAAACAAAAAATTCCAGTTCATATAACCAAGAGAATTTGAAGCTTCGCACCGATAAGTTCGCAGGGTGTGAAGGTGAAGGTGAAGTGTGAAGTCGAACTATCGACATTAACATTTTAGAATCCAAAATAATCCCCAAGATAATCTCCTTAAGGAAGATGATTGCCATTTTGATCATTCTCCAGTTGACGATCACTTACCAATGATTTTATTGAATATACTCTCACTCACCACTCATTGATAGTGGCAATCCAATTTCAGCAATTTCTTCTGAAGTTTGAACGAAACTTTCAGACAGCAAGATATCCCATTTTCTCATAACTAGTATTGAGGTGGCTGAGGCTTTCAAAACAAAAATGAGTAGGGTACTTTCACTTCTTGAAGAAGAACAATTTTCACATGAATTTTTACTGATAAGTGATTTATCACACCCTATTATTATTGGCATTGATTTTTGAGTATTTTATAAAGTACTTATTAATTTAAAAAAAAAATATTTTCTTGGCCAAATAAATGATAAAAATAAAACTATTCCAACGACGAAGTCGTTGGGCTCACTTACTCCGAGAAGTTAGTTTTAGCTGAAGCAACACTGAGGAGAAAAGCAGCACGACGTGCCTCATCTAATCAGGGTAGACCAGGAAGGTTTTTTACTGTCGGTCGGCGATATAGTACTGCCTGAAGCCAATAACATTCTTTCACTCTCCGCGCCAACACAATTTTTTTATTACTTTTAGAAGGACCATGTGATCATACTTACATCTTGGATGGAGTAGAAACTTTCAAAAAAAAGGAGAGCTTTTCACGCCTCACACTTGCGGCTTTACCGCTCATCATGTGCCCAATAATTTTGGGATCTAATAACGATTTTCTTTTTCTCATTACACCTTGGTACCCTTTCGATTTTTTTTTATTTGACTAGTGAGTGTAAACAAGAAGAAAGGATTCGAAGATATAACGAAACATGCATAGGTAACTGATTATGCATGATTACGCAATTAGACTTCTTACTATAAGATCATCCCTGAACTGGAACCTATGCTACTCTTCAATAAATACCGCCAAACGCATGATTTGAGCATTTTTTAATTTGAAATATAAAAAGGTTTTTGCCTGCAACATTTCTTACAGTTTGTTAGTTTTTATTAACTCAGTCGTTCTTCGCTGAAACTACCTTCTTATTGAATCACAGTAATCATTTCAACTTGGCTGAACCGTGCAACTAATAGCAAAAATTCATTTTCAATCAAAAATATTGCTTTTGTTATACCTTAAGCTTTCAAGTTTTTGTTGCTGTACACTGTCCTATTTTTTTTTTGTTAATAACTTGCTTACATCATTTTCCTATTTTTAGTGTTCAGTCTTACAATAAAAAATACCACTCGAGTTACAACGAGCATCCGTCTTTTATCCAATTTGTTAACTACACCACAGTCTAAAATATTTCCATACGTATCCATGAATTTTTTAATCAATAGCAAAATATTATATTTCACCACCATTCAACTCACCCAAAGAAGAACCCCAACTTCATTAGACCCGTTTCTCTGACCAACATTCTGAATGAAAACGAATATCTTCGATAACGAAGAAATTTAATCAGCTCACGTCCAGCCTGATTGTTTCTTTTAGTTTCTATTTCCGCCCAAGAATATATAAAACAAACCCAATATTAACGACCTCCTCATTCACGTTTAGATTTTGATTGATTAGTTGTCAATATGAATTTTTTATTGGCACTTACCGCTTTAGTGGCAACCGTTGCAGCCAATCCATCAGCTGTTGATGTCCTTCAGGATGTTTACTATACTTGCCTGCAGGACTTTTCAGTCAGTTGTGTTAAACCTAAAGCACTACATTGGATCAGTGAGGTGGCAAATAATCAGGAAATTCGGATTACTGATGATCTGACTATCGTGAAAAAAGATAATCCTGGAAATGTTGAGGTGTGTATAAATTGAAATAGAAAGCATGTGTATTTGTTTCAAAGCAGGTGGATGTGTCAGAAATTTTTTTGATTTTCCTGAAGTTACAATGAAATAGAACTGAAAAATATCTGTGAGATCTTCATTGAAGCAATTGAAAATTGTATCGAATAAAAATGAACTGAAATGGTAGTCGAAATGTCAAGTACCATTTCACTGTAGTTTATCAAATAATGTAACATTTTGTTAAATTGATAGATATAGCCGTTACTACCTGGTAGGATATCTTCTTGAAAAATGAGAAATAACACTTTCATGTTTTTCAACTAATTATTTGTAACCAACATTACTGCAGTTTCGTCCTATAAGGATATTCTCAAACTGATTTTAATAGTTTGGAAATATCCTTATAGGACGGAACTGCAGTAACGTTAGTTACATATAAAAGTGGTATTTTACAGCTTTCCTCCTAAAGTTCATGTCATGATTGCAAGTAAATGAACTTTTGTTATAGAAACACTTGTTGCTATTATCAAACAATATTATGTGGTTTTCCTTTTTCATGTTTCACATAGTCGCACAAATAATCTCCACATTTTATGTGTACCATATACTCATTTTCCTGAATCATGATGTACTTTGATGTTGATAACTTCTGGGCAAGAAACAAAAGTTCACAACATCATTTACACTCGCTTTCTTAAGTTTTTCCTTCATATTAGATCTGTGAAAAATTTCGAAACACGTCAACTCTAGTTTTGAGAGAGACTCATTGCTGCGTATAAATCAAACTTTCGATAGTAGCCCTCTCCCCATAATGGCCAATCATGTCAAACATTTCAAATGAAAGTGCCACCTCAGTTGATAGGTATTTCAATTCTGTATTCACCATGTGGTATTTTCAGATCAATACAATAAGCAATGTCAGAAAAACCCTTCAACTATTTGAAAATTATATCATCAAATGTTCAAACTGAGCACAATTATTTTGCATACAATGGTATAATAGTTAGACAGTAGCCAGCAGTACCTGGTAATTTTTTTCCATTTCAAACAAGCTATTAATAAGCCAGTGGGGACAAATCACTGGACATGAGTGGCCATTCTGTAGAACCTCTTCTGCCAATGCATCGACAGTGGAAGGAACTATCACACTGTTCCTTAGCAATGAAGAGGATCCCCATTTTCCATCAAATCCCATTTTCCATCAATGAACTAAAAATTATGTGTTCAGTTTGACCTTGTATTATAGCTGAACAAAAAGTCAAGAGAAATTTTTTTATAATTTTATTGCTTATTGTTGGAATGTCGAATATGTAAGAGGACTGAATACGCCTTTGAAAGACCTTTCTAATAGAGTATAACTCGACTGTACAATTTTGACATTGTTGAGAGGGGGGTCTCCCGAAAATCGAAGATGGTGTATTTCACAATTTCTTCATAGTTTCAAAATCAACTGACTTCAGGGTGGCTCGTTTCAACTGGAATGCCCGATGTATGCCGATATCACCGAAAATTTTCATTGCATAAATTTCACTTCTGTATAAATTTCATTAAATGTTGTCATTTTTGTTTTCAGGATCGTGGATTCTCCGATGATATTTTTGAAAAATTCGAAGATTTTCTACAAACCCACAATCTGGTTGTCAGAGCTCCGTCATTTCTTCGTGATAGGGATAGTCATACGGACAGTCTCATACCAAGATCTTTCCAAGCTCAAAATCTCGAAGTACCATTAGCAGTAACTGGTAAATATTTTTTATATCATGACCCAATGGGTTTTGAAAGAACTTTGAAAAAGACGTTTATGACTCCTTTCAAGTGTGGTGTTTTGAAGCGATGGTCCAAAATCTGATATTTCTACAGGAACATGAGAGAATTTCAGGATTCAATGCTCAAATATTATAATATAGTGGCTTTCGAAAATATATGTTCATTCTTCACAATTGTCAACGTTTTGACAACGCATGTACTATCTTCAGGGTTACAAAAAACGGACACATTATCAATTTTGAATATTCAGAAAAACCACTGTAGTGATAAATTCAACAATACGTGTTGTTTGCAGACGTTTGTCTCCAAAAAAACATCATCAATATCTCAGAACTCAAAGATACATCAACGCAACACATCAAAACTTGGCAAGCAGATGTAAACACCCATGCATTCCAGGGATTTTGTATCAATATGGAAAAAAATGTTCATAGAATATTAAATGAATGTTCACTCCAAAAAGTAACATAAACCTTCAAAGAGTCTAGTTATGCAGTAATTCATTAGTAAGCCACAATCTTCTTTTCTACTTTTGCTGTTTTCGAAATAAAAACAAGCTTTCTTTCAAATTGGCTGACCTTTCGAAAACTCGACACCTGAAATTATTAGTAAAGAAATTATATATTATAAAAGGGTATTTATAGAAAGTTCACAGAAACATTGAAACAGGAAGATATTTAATTAAATGGATTTTCGGCTGATAAATACACAACAATACATTGAAATTATTTCACAACGCGAAGACAATTCGTACGCCGTAAGTGTGTCAACTGTAACTCAATAACTGTCCTTCGATAGTTGTCTGGTTTTTCGGAATTAGCAGCCACCTGCTAGGGCATGGCAGGGTCGGCCCAAGGATGAGTAAAAGGGATTTGTTATAATATGTAGTATTTGATTAATTCCCAATAATTTGTCCTATTGGGTGAAATTTGTAAACACAAGTTATCAAGTTTATCAAATCTTTCGGAGATTCACATTACGCAGTAACTTCGTGACATGAATCTTCATTATAATTGGTAATCATTTGAGCAGATTCTGTTGATGTAGTTATTTTACAAAAGGTTTTATTTAGCTTGTTTTGTTTATTTGTTTGGGTTTGCGATGTCACCACTTTCTACGTGACGGTAAATTGAAACGAAGGCAGATATTTAGCCTCTAAAACGTTAAGCTAAGTATCAATGAAATTATAAGCTTTTTTTCATATATTCATACAGTACGACAATTAACTGATGAAACTAATATTTTTTACAAATAAAAATATTACAATTTATATTTTTCAGATTTTAGAGAGTGAAAATATTCAAAGGCTTAATTCAAAAGGGGAAATTAATTCAAAATAATTTTCCAAAATAGGATTTTATAAATGATGTTTCACTCAACTGAAACTAAGTATTTTGTGGATTGTCAGTAATAGCACGGCCAGAAGAATTTGTTCTAAATAGTCTTGTCATTTCTAAAAGTCTGATGTGATATTAGTAATCACAACTGTGAAATCCTATTAACTTTCTAGAAACTCATCTTCACTTTTTGAGTTTACAATGAAATGCATGATCCCACTCTAAAAATAGTTCTTTCTAGTATTAGACATTTTTCTTTCTAGGGCGGTCTTCAAAACTTGTGAAGAAAGTGATTGTACCATTCCTCCTGGGTTTGAAATTCAAAACTGCTGTGCTTGTACCACTTGCCTTGGCTCTCATTGCCTTGAAGACGTGGAAAGCTCTCACTTTGGGATTATTGTCTCTCGTGCTCACAGGGGCACTGGTTATTTTCAAGTTCACGAAACCAAAGGTGAGTAACAATATCAAGCTTGATGACTTTGGTACGGCTTAAAGTCATTCATGTGTTACTTGTCAATGTTAACTTCAAACAGGTTTTTGTCTTGGTACCTCTAAATATCAACTGGCAGAGCTAATATGGTTCCATAACAAATTTATTCGATTGTTGGCCAATTTATTTTGAAGAAATCCTTATTGAATAGAAGATATGACTTTTGTCTAATTTCTACTGAGTTTATCATTTGTTACGACCAGGTTCGGTTTATTAGACTATTTTCAAGTAACTAATACATCAAGACAAGACAAGTACTTAAAAATCAGGTCAGGTACCTATTACAGGTGAACATTTAAGTACTTGTCTTAGCTTGGTATATTACTTACTTGAAAATGGTCTAATAAACCGAAACCGGCCGTAACAGATAATAAACTCCGTAGAAATTAAACAAAAGTTATTTTCTCTATTCTATATCCAAAACTAATACCTTCAGAACTGATAAAACTAATTGTATGTTTCACTACAATAACTAATCAAAATACCGACCTTATTTGATAAAAATGTATTCAGAAAGACCTATTTTGATCTGTTTTGGTGGATAAAACTTTTATGTAATAATATTTACGTAAACGCAGAATTGAAACCTCTGGAGTGGAACCTCTAGAGTTATACATTCCGGAAAAGTAACACCTTTTTCAGCAACGCCCATTTCAACAATTAACTTGGTGTCATCATAAGACGATCTGAACTAATGACGTCAACTTGCTACCGTTTTGAAAAATTTGATTTTTTATGACTATTGAAAAGTCAGTTATTTCACGGTTGCTTGTTGAGTAAGATTTGCCAAAATTATCCAGACCTTCAAACCAATCACAATGGATCAGATTCATAACTGACTACCTTGAGACGAATCACAGTTGTTTCAATTATTTTCAATCTTTAGTAAGCCTTGAGAATTCCTTACTTCAAATTATTTTCCAAAACGTCAAACTTAATCATTGAACCGATGATTTGTTTTAAAATAAATGGTTTGAAACGAAACACAAAAATAAAAACATATATATTTGTAAAAGTTCGTCCGTTAATATCAAAATGAGAGCGAGCAAAAACTCAACCTCAGATCAGGTCAAATCTCTTGACAGCTTTTTTCACTTCCTTCTCAAATCACATTCGAAATTTGATGAAATAAATACTGTTTTTAGATTACTTTTTCTTATGAAATGTATTGGTATCACTATGAGTGGAGAAATCCTTCATAAATAAATCTTATTTCAAAATATTTCTGTTAAGTCATAGAAAAAGAGGAGTAATCAATTCGCAATGAAATGATCATTACTCTTTCACCTTCGACACATGTCAGAACCATTTCCAAACTTTATTTGCATAAGTAATGGCTACATTTCTCGCTCGTTGAATAATGAATATGTGATTAGTTGGGATAGAAACAAATCATACACGAAAGAAAAATAATTTGATGTATTGAAAAAAAGTTGCACGAACATATCGAACGCGTTTTTTATGAATATTTGTGCTTCCATTCTCAATAAAATTTGGGAATATTGCTCATTGTATACAGTGTCATCCCCAAAGTTTGCACCATATGGGAGACTTATTTATTAAGGATTTATAGACAAAATATTACTGTTGATAAAAGTTTGTGCATCACCTGAAACTAAACATGCACCAACAAAATACAGTAAAACACACGTAATATACAAGGAGCCTTCAAATTTGATTTTGGGATGGGAGAAAAGTACTCTTATTTTGAAAAATTTCGGAAAATGTTATTCAGAAAAGTTGTTCAGCATCAAAAAATACATCTAGATTTGAAGTCATGGCCATCTAAGGGAAGTTTAAATTTTCTACCCATTTTTTTTAATGGGGACTACGTAAAAAAAATTTGCTAAAACGACAAATAGACAGCATCCTGTATACGACGATTAATTTTGAACGCCTATAATATTACGAATCACACAACTATGGTGTTAACCACGGTTAATTTTTTTGAAGAGTAAAGTAATTTTCGAATTTTTGGTGCAAAGTTATTTTTATTTTTTGTCAACATCGAAAATTACTCAAAATCATACAGTATTGTAACAAGAACTCAATATTAATAATATCATATCACAAAACATCAAAATAATACAGGTATTTTGGAACAAACTCATTGATTTTCTGGAGATTTTCTTGTCCAAAATAATTCTCCAGAATGATCTCAAGAAAATCAATGAGTTTGTTCCAAAATACCTATTTTAAATTGATGTTATATGATTTGATACAATACTGTATAATTTTGAGTAATTTTTGGTGTTAACCGAAACTAAAAATAACTGTGCACCAAAAACTTTGAAAATCATTTCACTCTTCAAAAACATTGACCATGGTTAACACCATAGTTGTGTAATTTGTAATATTGCAGGCTTTCAAAATTAACTGTCGTATACAGGATGCTGTCTATTTATCGTTTTGACAAATGTTTTGTCCTAGTCCCCATTAAAAAAAAATATTGAAAAATCAAAAGTTTCCTTTGAAGGATATGACTTCAAGTCTAGATGTATTTTTCAATGCTGAACAACTTTTTCGGATAACAAATATTTCAAGGTTCCTCGTATATTACGTGTATTTTACTATATTGTGTTGGTGCATGCTCAGTTTTAGGAGATGAACAAACTTTTATCAGGAATAACTGTTTGTCGAAAAACCCTTAATAAATAAGTTTCCCATATGGTGCATAATTTGGGGATGACACTGTATATTCCCAAAAAAAATCTCAAATGCATTTCATCGAAGTGGAATAATTCATATACGAAAGATGTGTGAAGATCACATGATCAACCTATACTACATCCGGAATATAAAATCATCAGAAAAAAACACTCAATCAGAAACGCCGAAAGTGAATAAATGAAAGAATAAAGTCCTGTGATCTTCATACCCGAGAGGGCAAGTAAAAAGTAATCAAATCTTCCGTGACAAACTTAAACGGATTTTATTGGTGTCATTTCATTTTCGTTTCACTAAAAAATTCACACGAACTACTACCTATCGAAATTTTTCAATACTACTTCAATACTGCAAACAGAACATCTATCTGGTGGAAATTCACCTTTCAATTCATTTCTTCTAGGTTGTCAATTATGAAATAGTTCATGTACCACAACACATCGAGCATCATGTTGAGCATCCACCTTCATCTGGATGGGAACATCCTGGATATGGCAGGCAGCTGAATGGAAATGAAATGGCATATAATGCGTATATCAACTGAATGTTTGAATGGCTTATTTATTTATTTATGAAGTGAAATAAAAGTTATTTTCTGTAAAATCTGTTTTTTATTTATTTTTCTTTTCTTATAATTTCATTGATCACTATGATATTACTGTAAATTGACAGTTTTGATGTCAACTTGTTCATTCAACTGATTTGAATGAACATCAAAATAAAGTTTATTTGATATCATATTACTGTCCATAAGTCTCAATCAACCATAGGGAATAAAACATTTTCTCGTTATGTTTTCATAAATAAGTTTTTCAATTTCAGTTTTGAATAAATGAACTGAGTTTTTATTGTTTCAGTTTTCGTTTGATGATTTTCTCATGTGAATAAGAAAAATATAATGTTATTCCAACTCCTACGTTACTTGTGAATACTTCTTCGAATTCTTCAATTGTTTTGACAGAATAACTTTCATGATATAATACGACCAATTGTGAAAGTAATATATCCCATGTAAAATTTAATTGAATTCGTATAGGTAGCATTGCGAATATTCCTAAAATACTTTCTAATATTGTCGCCTCAGCTTAAAACTTATAATAATATAAGTTTTAAGCTGACGCCCGATGAAGCCATTGTATGGCGAAACACGTGTTGCGTTTTCGTAAAAATCTCACAGTGAAGTCATTTTTGAATACGTTGAAAACAACAAAACGACTACTCCATGCCAAAACACATGAAACCATTGTATGGCGAAACACGTGTTGCGTTTTCGTAAAAATCTGACAATGAAGTAATTTTTGAATACATTAAAAACCACTCAAACGAAACGACTACTCCATGCCAAAATACAAAATGTGGACATTGATAATTTATCGAATACGCAAGAAAAAATTTTATTGAAACGAGTAAATATTGTGTTTTGATTATTCTATATATCCGAAACCAGTGCTATATGATACACGAAGTTTGTTAACAACTAATAATTTCAATTTTGAAATAAGTGAGTAACATCTACCTGAACACAACAAAAAATGCGACTTTAATCTTCAAAATTACTATAAAAACGGTGCCATTTTCCTATTTATAGCGGTTTAATAAACACTTCGAAAACATTTTTGGGAGGAATGCAGTTTTATAATTTGTTTCTCCGAAAAGTTTCCGAAACTATTATAAAATACGAAATTGCTAGTTGCATTGGTACGGATAACATTGTCATTCAACCAATTTACACAAAACATAAATAAATTAGACACATAATCCTGCCTCTTGAGTCACTTCATCTATAGCGAAAAAACAATATAGAACCCATTCGGTAGATTTGAGTTTATCGCATTCAAAAGAAGTGTCAAATATGAGAAGATATTACTTTCCTAATTGTAAACAATACCAAAATGTTTATAAGATATAAATTATATTACACCTATAGTACAACTGTTTCAATTCTAAGGGGGCTGTAATGAACCCAGGCTCCCCAATACTTCAATACTTGAGACATTGCTGTTTTGAAGTTATACTTTACCTTAGATATAGCTATATCGCCAGCTTAGAGTAGTTTGAGGGAATGCATTCATCTACATATGCATAAAAGCATATACCCTATAGTAATATGTTTTCCCCTTTTGGACAGATTTGAGGAACATAAATCTTTGTTGAGATAATAAATCAAGCATCAAAAACCTAGTCACTGATAAGTTATTTGTCCCTATCTTGATAACTGAGCTTATCTGTGTGCGTCTCCCTCGAGGTGGCTTGAAGAATAAGAATGGTCTTGAAATTCCGAACTTAGGTCTGCAGTGTTCTGTCGGTACCACAATTGTGATCGGCTCAACAGTGGGTAACTACTAACTACTGGTACTACTGTACTAAGCATTCATGCAAGGATGTCTAGTCTTACAGAAATACTAACATGAGGAAATGGTATCCAGATAAAAGAAGGCCTAAAATGAAACAATTCATATCAGATGGTAACGGTTCACTGGAAGTGATGTTTAGGACGATACGTCTGGACAGAATGATCAAGCTCATTCTCTGAATGTATGAGTTGTCTCGTTGACTCACCTTTGATGTCGTGTGGCCTATAGGTTTACTTTTGCCCCAAGAAGACAAGATTCAAATCAATGAGATTCGGTTTTACGTAAGAAATTGAATCCAACAAGTGAGTTGAATGTTTTACCAGCATCCAAATGCCAAGAATACAACGATTTCCTATTGTTAATCCTATTTGCTAATCCGAAAAATTGAGAAGTTTGGACAAAAATTCCAAAATCAGCAAAATGGCTACCAAAAGTACCACAAAAAATTTTGAATCCCGGCGGCAAGACATTCATGGAACCCAAAGTCACAGAACACCCTCACTACACAATTCACCGTACAGAGCACAGAACCCTTAGAGGATTCGAATATATGTTCGAATATAACTAATACGTTCGAATATATCCTTGTATAGTTGTTAATCAGTAAATGAGAACTAAAAGAATGACGAGGTATTAAAATATCCCAAAACCTTCATGGAGGTATTAATTTCAGGTTTAAATAGTCGTTGACCTCAAAACAACAAATGACAAAATAAAACCGTAACAACTCCTCCCTTTCCCGGAGGAAAGTTTCAAAGAAACTTTCTTGGGATGTAAAGGATAGAAAATGCCGAAATGATACACCAAAACGAGTATCACTCATTTTGCAGTGGATGTGCTTTGATATCTTTTGCGTTTCACATTCCCATCGATCGATCGTTCTTATCTACCAGTTCGTAGGTCCATGGTGACACTACGCGACTGATCTTGAATGGTCCAGTGAATTTGTTTGCAAGCTTTGCCGTGAATTTTTTTGCAATGTCGGACAGAGCGTAATTCCTCTTCCAAACCAATTGACCAAGTGAAAACGTTTCATTCCGATGCCTAAGGTTGTAGTCTTTCTACTCCTTTTGTATGCTAACATAAGTCTTTTCCGTACGTCACGAAAGAGTTCTGCCAACTCAATTTGTCGCTTCTTAACACCGAGAATAATCTGTGAGCGAAGCATGGAATCTTCCATTTCATTGAGATCCACTTCTCTTATGAAATTCACAATATTCGGTGTATAACCCGTCGCCTCGTGTTTTGCCGAACGCAAAGCGTAGGATACTTTTGCCAGGTACTTGTCCCACTGACCGTGATTATCCGAGACGTATGCTGTCAATACTGTTTTGAGGACTCTAGTCCTTTCAACAGGATTTGATTGGGGGTAGTAATTAGCCGTGTGTTTAAGTCGGATATTATATTTTTCCATGGTGTTTTTGAACAAAGTGCTTTTAAATTGTGCCCCGTTATCGACAATTATTCTCCTGGGAGCACCATAAATCAAAATCACATGATCCTCCAACCATTTCAAAATGTTGGTCGAGGTTGCCGTCCTCATGGGGAAAAACAAGACGAATTTGCTGAACCAATCCATTACGGACAATATATATGAAAATCCAGAAGTGGACCGAGGGAGTGGACCTACCAAGTCATCACTAACGAGTTCCCATGGCCTTGAAACAGTCACTTGAGCAGAAAGCATCTGTCCAGCAGTGAGTTTCTGTTCTGGTTTTGTTTCTATACAAGTAGTACATCGCCTTATATACTTAGCCACAGCAGCCCTCAACTTAGGCCAGTAGAATTTCTGTGAAATCCTACCCACAGTTTTCCATATGCCAAGATGTCCACATGTTGCGGGATTATGATGATCTCTTATAACATCAGAACGTTCTTCACGAGGTAGAACTATTCGCCATTCACTTCCTGACAGACCAGGATACTGAAGCTTGACCTTCCGTAGAAGTTTTCCATCCTGAAAGATCCACAACGGGTATTTGACAGGATATTTGATGATTTTTTCGCACATTTCATTAAACCATTTATCATCTGAATGGGAAGGCTTCTCAGACCGTACGTCAGCGAGATCTATAACCGGGACTGCCCTAGAGAGAGTATCGGGTACAAGATGATCTCTTCCTTTTCGGTGTATAACTTCGAAGTCGTACTGTTGGTCAGTTACCACCGTGAATTTAGTTCCTTCCAGGTATGGTCTCAACTTTTCGATAGCGAAGATGACCGCCAAGCACTCCTTCTCTGTAGTGGAATATCGGCGCTCAGTTTTGGTTAGGGATCTGCTGAGGTAGCAGATAACTTTATCGCCTTCGGGTTATTTTTGGGTTAAAATGCCCCCCAACCCATAGTCAGACGCATCTGTTTCAACATAAAAGGGTAAGTTGAAGTCGGGACACGCCAGTATGGGTGTCGAGACTAAATGTTGCTTCACTTTATTCAGAGCTTCCTCACATTCAGAATCCCAGTTGAATGATCGAATCTTCTGTGTGAGCCGAGTCATTGAGGCGACAACGGTCGAAAAGGAAGGGATGAATCGCCTGTACCAGGAGGCAAGGCCTACCACTCTTCTAACTTCCGATACCGTATGCGGAGTAGGGATTTTCAAGATTGCCTCCACTTTTCCTGGATCAACCAAGAGACCAGAGGAGTTCACTACATAACCTAAGTATCGTAATTCCTGACGACAGAAAATACATTTTTCTCTGTTCAATGTGAGACCAGCATTACGTAGCCGGTTCATTACTTCTTGAAGAACTTTGAGGTGATTTTCAAAGTCAGGTGTACAAATAATGATGTCCAAATAAACGAAAATAAATGACTCCAGATCCGCTCCAACAACCCTATCTATCAATCTTTACCACGTAGCTGGGGCTGAGTGAAGCCCGAAAGGCATTCGTTTGAACTGAAACAAACCCCGAGTCGGTACCGTAAAGGCAGTTAATGGACGAGAAATCTCGGCTACAGGTATCTGCCAATATGCGGACTTGATATCCAATGTTGACAAATATCGGGCATCCCTTAGCCTGTCGAGAATGGAACTCACGTATGGAATGGGGTAGGCATCAGGGCCACCGACCGCGTTTAGCTTCTTGAAATTTACGCAAAATCTCCACCGCCCATCCCTCTTCTTCACCATCACAATTGGTGATGACCAAGGTGAGGAAGACGGTTCGACAATGCCATTTGCTAATATATCGTCTAATTCGGCGTTAACAACTTTTTGGAGAGCTGGTGAAATGGGGTAATAC